GTTTCGAGGTCATCATAGCCTCGATGCTGAATTTTAAATGCTGCCGCTTGATTGGCATATTCAACAGCTTGCCTTAGCGATCGCTTCAGATACTGCAGGGCATGAATGCAGGCAGCCAAAAAGGTGTCACCAGCACCCAACGAATCGATTACTTCATTTACATGGCAAGCCGGCACAGAGGCATATTCTCCCGCGGAACTTAAACAATCAGTAGACACCGAACCCCAAGGGCAGATGATATTGGGCAAAGGGACGTTCGTACCTCCTTCCAATTTTCCCTGCATATCACGAATAATCTCCTTGGCACCCCACACCGCCTCTTTGGCCGTATGCCAACCCATATGCTCCGCAATATCTTTAGATACGAATACCACATCAGCTCCGCAGGTCAATTCAAAAAGATCACGATTTAATTTTTCCAATTCCACGGAAATTTTTATCCGATCACCAGTCTCCTCTACCCCCTGATTATACTCCTGAATCCTCATGATCATTTGTCGTGTCTCCCCAACATTACGACCCTCAAAATGTATCCAGCTGTAGGCGGATAAATTTATTTTCTTAAAATCGTTATAGGTTAAAATCGGAAAGCCGGGATTTGAGTGTACTATCGTTCGGGTACCTTTACTCTTGACCAATATTATACTTGAAAATGGTGGATCCATATCTGTGGTTGGACAATTTTCTATGCTGATATTCCGGCGACGGCAATCTTCATAAAGGAAGGCAAATGCTGGCGAAGTACTTATCATTCCCAGAAATTCGCAGGGTGCCCCTAATTTACGTAGCACCGTGGAATTATTGGAGGCATTACCACCCCTCTGCCAATAACCGCTTTGACAACGTCTATCTGTGTCCTCCTTCGGATATTCTGCACATACATGGATTATGTCCAAGACACACATACCCACGCACAAGATGCGCTTCTCTTCGGACATTCTGAAAATAAAGAATATGGAAAAGGGTTAAAAAAGGAAGCAATTTTTTCGCATAGAAAAAATTTGGTAAAAGATAGTCTACAGAAAAAAATCGGAAACAATATTTTTCGTCAATAGAAAAAAATTCGGAAATTTTATTCGCATAGAAAAAAATTCTGAAAAATTTTTTTTTCGCATAGAAAAAAATTCGGAAATTTTATTCGCATAGAAAAAAATTCGGAAATTTTATTCGCATAGAAAAAAATTCTGAAAAAATTTTTTTCGCATAGAAAAAAATTCGGTATTTTTTTCGTCAAAAGAAAAAAATTGGAAACTTTTTGGTTTAGAAAAAATCGGATTTTTTAATTTTTTTTTAGAAATTGGCCGATTTTTACTATTGAGAAGCCAAAATATGAAATTTCAACGAAATTTATCGGAAAATCGTAAGAATTTCGAAAATCGGAATGTTCCGTTGTATGGGGCTATACTAAACGAGGGCCGATATAAATAATTTTTGGTAGGGAGGTTCTCTACCCAATAAAAGGCCTGTATATCAAATTACAATCAATTTGGTTGCCAAATGTGTCTAAAATCTTTAAAATATCGAAAATAGGATGGTACTTTTATATGGGAGCTATACCTAAACGTGGGTTCATATAGATATTTTTTGGTAGGGAGGTTCTGTAGCCAATGAAATCCCAAAATATCAAATTACAAACAATTCGATTTGAAAATATGTTCAAAAACCTTAAAATATCGAAAATCAGAAGGCAACGTTGTATGGAGGCTACACCTAAAAATGTACCAATCCTAATACAGTAAAATCCCGATAATTCGTAATGTCAAGGGACCGACGGTTTTATGCGAATTAACGAGGTTTTCGAATTAGCGAGGTTTCGAATTAGCGGGGGGAATAATGAAAAAATACGAATTAACGAGGTTTTTATTCAATCGTGAGTATATATACATGTTTAGGTACGTATATATTTTTTTATTTTTTCAAAACAAAAAATCTTAAAATCAATTTATTGCGGCCAAAAAAAAAACTTAATTCTTAATTCACCATGGCACGTATCACCCTTCAAACACATTGTTTTCCGGAAAATTATGTTGTGCATTTTCTTAAAGCGATAGAGCCATCCTTCGCTGACTTTGGAATTGTGTAAGCCTAGCGGCAAACGTTTTAGCCTTTTCTCTCATAAGCACTCCTCCAATTGGCATATTCGATTGACGGTTTTGCCAAAACCATGCGACAAGTGAATTAAATTCACTGAGATGCAGAAAAATGTGAATAGCCCTATCAATCAACGTTAAAATAATAAAAGTTAGAGAAAGGCACACATAAAAACAAATATATTGCCACTTCAGAACAGAGAATCACTAGTCAGTGGTTTACTGTTAATGTCGTACGATGAGCACAAGAAACTGGATTTTCCTACAAAGAATGCGGCGCCCGCTACTTTAAAATGCACGAATCATGTAGCTCATCTCGAAAGAGAAATTATTAAAAAACATTTACATGAATGATCCTTCGCCCTAAAAAGGCATAAAAACAAAACTCAAAAATTCAGCTTGAGCCCGGCTGGGATTTGAAGCCTGGTTCCCATGTCATCTGTTGGGGTCCGGCGCCTTAGCGTTCAAAGCCACCTCCTTATCTTCCTAAGGTCGCACAATATGCAGTTGCATACCATTGAAGAAAAATATTGTAGTCTGTATGGAAAAAAGTCCGTCACTACAAGAAAAATCTGCTTTGAAAAGGAATGTTCCGGTGTGATGCCAAATGTCCGAACCTTGACACGGCTGAATTTAATTCGTAGATGCAATTTCGCAACAATAGTCGACATAAATACAACTTATCAAGTTAAGACATTTGTAAGCCACATTGCCCAATATGGCTGATGAGCCGCTTAACCAACGGCGAAACGCGTCGCATAGTGGCGGGAATGTAGTATCTCTCTGGCTTTCCTTTTCATTGCAACTCCTATCATGTAGCTCATCTCGAAAGAGAAATTAATAAAAAAACCATTTTAGGTTTACGAATTATCGAGGTTTACGAAAACAAATTACGAATTATAACAGGTATTTCAGCATTTCGTTTGAAATATTTCACGAATTATCGAGGGGACCGAAATGTATGGGATTTTTACGAATTATCGCGGTTTTTCCAAGGGACCGGCATTTTGTTACGAATAAGCGGGGTTTACGAATTAACGGGGTTACGAATTATCGGGATTTTACTGTAATTTTTAGTAGGGACATTTTATATCAGATGAGAAGCCAACTGATCGAATTACAGCCAATTTGCCTGAAAAATAAGTCAAAACTCCTTAAAATATCGAAAATCTAAGGGTACTTTTATATGAGAGCTATACTTAAACGTGGATCCATATAGATAATTTTAGGTAGGGAGGTTCTCTATTCAATAATAGTTAAATTTTTCTAATTAGGACTTCAACCGCTTCAAATTGATACCCATACTGCCTGTGTAAATTTTATAATATAGGGTGACAAGGGCCTCAGTGGAACTATGGAGGTCCGTATAGATTTTCGTAAGAAAAAAATGTACCATTGTAATCGGGATCCTTAGAACAATACATTTCATAACAATCTGCGACCTGGCCCCAAATTTGTACTTTCTTTCTAAGGAACAGTTTTCATTGTTGAGACGACCACCGGAACTTATCGGCCCACTTGTGATTATACTGATCCTCATATCAAAACGGGTTGATTTTACGATATACCTATGAGCTCAGCAAAGTTTATTTATATATTATTTTGATTGATAAAGCATTGCCACACCTGGCCCATACCGCGAAAGAATAGATTTATAGAAATATGAACAAATTAATTGTTACCAAATTTACCTGAACTTGCATTCACCTTGCTCGGCAATATTTTGTTTGACCTTAATAATACGTTTCAATTTCTTATCAACAACCCTTTACTTGTAAACAACACCCACTGCTTTGACAGCTGACTATCCCCACACTTTCTGGAACACAAAGCAGAGAATTTAATATTTTTTTGACTTTTTTATTTATCTTTTCAAGGTGATCGATTAAATATTACAACATACAATTTTTTCTATTATTATTTTTATTAAAATCGCCGTGTGTTATTTTTTTAATCTTAAGCTGTCTGTCAAACTAAATGTTCTTGCCTTTTCAAGTGTGTGGCTCGTTCACATATGTTTTTGACGTTAATCTACTGAACAGAACCGAACAGAGCAGAGAAGGAGATATGGCTTGATTGTTGATATGTGAAAGCAAAAACAAACAAAACAAAGCAAAGCCAAGAGCGAGAGAATGAAGGCAAAGAGATCCACGATCTAAAGAGCAAAAGAGTTACTTTGAGTGGGGGCAATAAAAAGCAAACAACTGCTTGTTGGGGGAACATTTTGTTTTTGTTTATTAAATAAACTGAAAGGAGGAGGTGGGGGAGGGGGTTAGTGGGTGTTACTATTGTTATACTATCTGTTCTCCCCTCTCAAACTAGTAGAAGTAAACAGTTAACACTTTATTTATTCAACGGTTAAATTAATGTAAACAAAGAGAAAAGTGTTCTTCATTCAATGAAGAGAGCACAACAGTTACTGTTACCACAAAGAGAAACAAGAGAACTAAGCTCTTAATAATAAGTGAAACAAACAGCTGTTATTAAACAGTCTGTTGATGAAATCAAAAGGAAATTCTTTTTCATAAGAAAAAATCGTTAACATTTATAATTTAAATCAAATATATTTAAAGCCTTTAGTATTTATTTTATTTTATTCAGAACAAACTTTGATTTTTTATTTATGTAAAATGTGAATCTAAAAAAAACTGAACATGCTAAGAATTACTTTAGGAATGCTGGTGAAACTGTCTTATAGTATGGTTTTAGAACACAAAAATACCAAATTGTATTTATAGACCCCTCTGTAAATAAGACAATATAAACATCATCAGTCTAGAATCACATGAGAACTCCTGAATTAAATTCTCTGGGCGAGGGTGTTTATTTTATCGCACATATATATTTCTTTACAAATAAAAATTTAAAAACTTAGTTTATTTAATATTTTTCCCTCTCTTTTTTTTCCAGATCATGAAAAATCTGCTGGGCACCGAACTGGGTTATCATTCCATGAAAATGATGTGTAACATCCTAAATGATCGTTCTCTATACGAAGATGAATATTTGCTGAGAGGTGCAGTATTTCATTTGAATATGAATATATTTGGTGCACCGCTGGTATTTCAAGTATCACCGCTATTTTATGCCTCAATGGTGTTGAATAGTTTTTTGAGGGTAAGTAGAAAATAGGATTAAAAATTTGACTCCAAAAAGTTATTAATTTATTTTATTTGTGTGTTTAGTTAGACTAACAGAATTCGGAATTACCAGAACTCTACAATATGGAGTACAAGGGCAACGAGGAGGAACTATTAATTCTATAAAGACATCCTCACGGAAGTCTTCAAAAGAATTATTTAGAGGACTCTATAAAGATTCCTTTATAGGAGTCTATAAAGACTCCTTCATAGGAGTCTATAGAGACAACTTTATAGGAGTCTATAAAGACTCCATTAATGGAGTCTATAAAGGCTCCTTAATAGGAGTATATAAAGACCTCTTTATAGGTGTCTATAAAGACTTATTTAATAAAGACTGCTTTATAGGATTCTATAAAGACTTTATTGGAGTCTATATAGACCCCTTTATAGAAGTCTGTAAAGACTCCTTTATAGGTGTCTATAAGGACTCCTTTATAGGAGTCTATAAAGACTCCTTTATAGGAGTCTATAAAGACTCTTTTATAGGAATCTATAAAGACTCCTTTATAGGGGTCTATAAAGACTCCTTTTATGGCTGTAATTTGATATTTATACCCTTCACCACACTGTGGTACAGGGTATTATGTCTTTGTGCATATGTTTGTAACAGGCAAAAGGAAACGAGATAGACACATGGTTCCTTTTGAGAATATGCATAGAATCACTTTTTAAGTCGATTTATGCATGTCCGTCCATACCAAAAATCCGTCTGTCCGTCTGTCCGTCTGTCCGTCTGTCTGTCCATGTTAAATTGTAAACAAAGTACAGGTCGCATTTATGATCCGAATTGGATGAAATTTGGCATAGGTCACTTATTCGGCCCAAGGACGAACCCTATTGAAATTGGGAAAAATCGGTTCAGATTTAGATATAGCTCCCATATATATATTTAACCGATTTAATGTAAACGGTCCCTATATATCTTTCGATTTGCACGAAATTTGGTACAGCCTAATCATTTAGGTCTAGAATGATGTCTGCCAAGTTTCATGAAAATCGGTCCAGATTTAGATATAGCTCCCATATATAGTTTCGTCCGATTTCATGTAAATAGTGCCCCAAAGTCCCTATATATCTTTCGATTTGCACGAAATTTGGTACAGCCTAATCATTTCGGTCTAGAATGATGTCTGCCAAGTTTCGTGAAAATCGGTCCAGATTTTGATATAGCTCCCATATATAGTTTCGTCCGATTTCATGTAAATGGTGCCCCAAAGTCCCTATATATCTTTCGATTTGCACGAAATTTGGCATAACGTACTGAATTGAGCCTAGAGTGATGTCTGCCAAGTTTTGAGAAAATCGGTTCAGATTTAGATATAGCTCCCATATATAGTTTCGTCCGATTTTATGTAAATGGTGCCCCAAAGTACCTATATATCTTTCGATTTGCACGAAATTTGGCATAACGTACTGAATTGATCCTAGAGTGATGTCTGCCGAGTTTTGAGAAAATCGGTTCAGATTTAGATATACCTCCCATATATAGTTTCCTCCGATTTCATGTAAATGGTGCCCCAAAGTCCCTATATATCTTTCGATTTGCACGAAATTTGGCATAACGTACTGATTTGAGCCTAGAGTGATGTCTGCCAAGTTTTGGAAAAAACGGTTCAGATTTAGATATAGCTCCCATATATAGTTTCGTCCGATTTCATGTAAATGGTGCCCCAAAGTACCTATATATCTTTCGATTTGCACGAAATTTGGCATAACGTACTGAATTGGTCCTAGAGTGATGTCTGCCGAGTTTTGAGGAAATCGGTTCAGATTTAGATATACCTCCCATATACAGTTTCCTCCGATTTCATGTAAATGGTGCCCCAAAGTCCCTATATATCTTTCGATTTCCACGAAATTTGGCATATCGTACTGAATTAAGCCTAGAGTGATGTCTGTCAAGTTTCGTGAAAATCGGTCCTGATTTAGATATAGCTCCCATATATAGTTTCGTCCGATTTTATATAAATGGTGCCCCAAAGTCCCTATATATCTTTCGATTTCCACGAAATTTGGCATATCGTACTGAATTAAGCCTAGAGTGATGTCTGCCAAGTTTCGAGAAAATCGGTCCAGATTTAGATATAGCTTCCATATATAGTTTCGTCCGATTTCATGTAAATGGTGCCACAAAGTACTTATATATCTTTCGATTTGCACGATATTTGGCAATTTGCTAAGTTTCGTGAAAATCATATATAGTTTCGTCCGATTTCATATAAATGGTGCACCAAAGTCCCTATATATCCTTCGATTTGCACGAAATTTGGCATAACGTACTGAATTGAGCCTAGAGTGATGTCTGCCAAGTTTCGAGAAAATCGGTCTATATAGCTCCCATATATATTTCATGTTAATAGTCCTGTTTAATATACCCATAGTGGTGAAGGGTATCATATAGTCGGCCCCGTCCGACTTTACTACTTTCCTTACTGGTTTTAGTTCTCATTGTGTAGACAAGTTCCCTACCAAAAATGATCAATTTCGATGCACTTTTAGGTATAGATCCCATATAACAGTAAGATCCGATAATCGGTATTTTAGGGATTTTGGACATGTTTTCCGACCAAATTATCAGAAATTCGACATTTTAAGTTCTCACTAGGTATATAATCTCTCTACTAAAAATTATCAAAAATAACTCTAACCTAAAATTTTCAGTTTTTTGAGGTATTTGGCACATTTTACAACGAAATTAGCTGCAATTTCATATTTTGGGTTCTCATTTCGTAGATAATCTCAATACCAAAAATTATCAATATCGCACCACTTTCAAGTATAGCTCCCACATAACCCTAACCTCCCAAATTTCCGAATTTTGAGGAATTTTGTACATTTTACAAGCAAATTGGCTGTAATTTGATATTTTGAGTTCTTATTGTATAGAAAATATTTCTACCAGAAATTATACATATCCGTTCACTTTTAAGTAGAGCTCCCATATAGCCCTAACCTCAAATTTTCCATAGTTTGAGATATTTGGCACATTTTACAACCAAATTGGCTGCAATTTGATATTTTGGATTCTCATTGTGTAGAAAATCTCCCTACTAAAAATTAGCAATATCGGCTTACTTTTAAGTATAGCTTCCATATAACCCTAACCTCAAATTTTCCGAATTTTGAGGAATTTTTGTATATTTTACAATTTCAAATTTTGAATTCCTATTAGGTATATAATCTTCCTACCAAAAATGATTAATATCGCCCCACTTTTAAATATAGCTCCCATATAACCCTAACCTCCAAATTTCTGAATTTTGAGGAATTTGGCACTTTTTGGATTTTAAGGGTTTTTTTTTGTTTTACAAAATCTACTTGAAAATATTGTCGGTATAAGGATTGACTTTTATGTAATATCCCTTATATGCCAATCCTCATCTATTTTCGGTATACAAAGTTCCGCCTGGCAACTTTAAGAAAGCTTAAAAAAAATCATATATTTTTGTATGTTTCCTTTTTTCTTTCAGGCTCTGGATAGCCGTCATGTCTGTGTCACCTATGAGGTCATCTTGGGCATACACATTGTTATAACAAAATATAAATCGGAATTACCGGAAATCATTTGGGATCGTATATGTGATATAATGTCAGCCATAGTCGATAACATTGAATGTTATGGTGAGTCCAAACTAAAAATCTCCAAGTCTAACTTCCGAAACTAATTGATTTATTTTTACCTCTCTCTTTGCAGAACGTGTCTCGACCACCACAAATGATCTGAAACACTTAAAAAGTCACTTCCACGAAAATATAAATTGCATCGAAAAACTGTTGCAGGATGAGAAGACAAAAATTCTGGCAAATTATGAGCGAATTTATGATCTCATTGAACGTGTGGCGGAAAATCGTCCTGAAGCATCAGTTCTGCTGCTAATCGATTATCGTTCATCAAAAATAACTGCCACCCGACCGGAATGGTTACAACTGTTGAATACATTTGTTCAACGTTTCTATAAAATGTCCAGTACTCCGATACGGATTAAAGTCATACAAAGTCTGGTGAATATTATGGATCTAAATCGTTCCTGCTATGAGGAGGAAATTTTAGAACGTGTAGTACTGCCGCTGTTCGGTCAAGTGTGCAATGAGACAGATGTCCAATTACGATGTGCCGTAGCAAATGCTTTAATTAATTTTGCCCGTCACTGTGATACGAAGCGATGCGGTGAACTGCTGGATCTACTGGAGAAAATCATAAATCGTCCCTATGAACAGTATAAATTAAACGGGGTGGAAATTAAAAATGAACAGGATATTCTGGATGTGGTGCAAGCTGTGGATGGTCTGATTGAGGTTTTCCTAGTGAAATTGTATCGTTTACCTTCGGCTCATGCCATAAAGATTTTCAATATTTTAATTGGCCATCTGGAGTTGCATTATAATAATCCCAAGGTCTTTGAGCAGATCAATGTGGTGAGGTATAAGGTGAGTTTCGAACATAAAAATAAAAACTTTCCGAAGTTTTGTTCTTATAGAAAAAATTTCGACCTCAGGTCGACACTGAGGTCTCGGCGAATTTTTTCTATAGAAAAAATTCCGACATCAGGTCAGAATGGAGGATTTGTCAAAAATTTTTCTATAAAAACAAATACCACCTCAGATCGGACATGACGTCTCGGCGATTTTCATTTTGCTTTAGAACCAAAATACCGACATATAGGAAATATGGACCCGAAGTTTGATTTTTTATAGAGAACCCTTTTCATATTTCAGATTTTCTCTTGGATGTTAAAGGCCCGAGCCAATGCCCTGTATCACATTGGCTTTCCCGATCCTTCTAATAATGATAATATCAAATATAGTTATTATTTGGGTATTGATTCCAGTATGCCGGCGGTCCACGATATTTCCGCACATCATCATCAACCCCGCCATCAGCTTATGTCTCAGCTATCGGGTCATGATCAAATTGTACCCAATCCCCATTTCACCACCATTTCCATAAAACGGGCCTGTGAAATGATTGTCAAGTGTTTGGAAAAGGATAGGGGTACGAACAAAATTTTCGATATATTTTCATAACTCTCTCTAACCTCATTTTGTTTGGATTTCTTTCAGATTTTCAAATTTTCCAATTGGTCATAAAGGAATTGCCGAAAATAATGCAAAATAAGGCTTTGATTCAGGGCAATGACATCGAATCCCTGGCTGCTGCTTTGTTTAAAATTATTTTTGAAAGCAATAAGACCTTGCATATAACCTATAAATCGAGCATAGATGAATTGAATTCCCTGGTCCTGCCGGCCATTGCCTCCTTGGTAATCTATCATCAATATATTCAACCCTCAAATCAATATAAAATTATTGAGGTCTTGAAAATTGGTATCCTCTCGGGTATTGCAAATATTTGTATAAATACCATGACCACAATTATATTGGAAATGCCCGAGGCCCTGATGCGTAAGCTGCCGGATATTCTGCTGCAAATGTCGAAAATGTCCGATACCCCGGCGGTGGCCATATCGGTATTGGAATTTTTGTCAAGTAAGAAATTAAAATAAAAATAGTTTTGGTTTTTCTGAATCACTTCGAATATTTTTTTTCAGTTCTCAGTCGCTTACCCAATGACCTCTTCACGAATTTCACACCACGCCAATATATGTATGTCTTTGCCATTTCCCTGGCCTATACCAAACCACATCGTTATGATCATTATATTGTTTCGCTGGCTCATCATGTCATTGCCGGTTGGTTTTTGAAATGTAAATTGGAGCTGCGTAAAAATTGTGTGACCTATATCATATCGGTAGGTAACTCCCATCCTTCCCTTCTATACCTCTATTTCAATCTGAATTTCTCCTTCAGTCCATCCAATCAAACGCCAGCATGCTGTATGAGGACATCAACAAGCTATCGCGCAACATACAACGTCAGGACCTCAACAGTCTAAATGAGGATTCGTCGAATCGCAAACGAAGTACCAGCTTAACAGAGCGGGGTAGCCGTAACACCTCTGCCATGGGTCGTAGTGATTCGGAAATGCGTCCCTTAATGACAGCCAGCCTGAAATCTTTTCATGCCGAACTGGCCGAGACTTGTATTGATTTTTTGGCTCGCCACACTTTTTCACCATGTTCGGCATTGCCTAAACGGTAGGTACTAGGGCGGAATATTTCAAAATACATAGATTTAGAAAAGATTCGAGACCTCTGTTAACCTAAAGAGACATTTTTCTATAGAAAAAATAGGAGAGTCCTCCGATCACCTGGGGACGCATTTTTTTCTATTAAAAAAATCGTGAAACTTCCGACCAAATGAGGTAGTATTTAAAAAATAATCGCCAGACCTCCGATCACCTCAGGTCCCATGTTTTTATAGAAAAAAAATTCGGTTGACCTCCGATAACCTGAGGTCGGTATTAACAAAAATCGACGAGATCTACCTTAAAAAATGTTACCTTAGAGTCGAGACTGATCCATCGAAAAAAGTTTGACGGTCTATGGAAAAAATACCGAACTCAGCGTGACTGAGGTCTCGAAAAAATATGTGATTGTGGTTTCGAAAAATAGGCGACCTCAGTTAACCCTGATGTCGAAATCGGCTGACCTCCGATAACCTGAGGTTGGTATTAAAATAAATCGACGAGTTTTCAGGATAACTGAGGTCGATATTTTTTTCAGAAAAAAATTTTACTTCAGGGGCGAGACTGATCCGAGAGACCTCCGATAACCTGAGGTCGGCATTAAAAAAAATCGGCGATCGTATTTTCTATAGAAAAAAATTCGGCGAGACCCCAGTTCGATAATTTTTATCTAGAGAAAAAAATTGGCTTGGCCTTAGATAGGTATATTTTTTGAAACAAGAAATTAACGAGACCTCTGACTGGTATTTCTCTAGTCTGGTCTATAGAAAAATATTCGGCTAGACCTAAGGTCGATATTTTTTATAGAATTTTTTTCTATAGAAAAATTCGGCAAGGCCTCAGGTTACCCTCTGTTCAGGTTTCCTGAGATGCTCTCCGACTCTTTCTCAATAATAATTTTCCTCTTTCTCGTTTTTTCCTTTCCAGCCTTCCCGCTGTAGAGCATCTCCTGAAAGATGGCCATTCTCAAACATGGCTGGTGGGTCATAATCTTGTTACTATCACCACGTCCGGCTGTCCATCGGCACCAACACGTAATGGCCTATGCGATAGATGTTCGCAGCTGGGAAAAGCCTATACCCTTAGCCCCAAAAGTAGTACCGATACAAATCCCGGTACCACACCCCTTTCACCGGAAATAAATCAACAAAATCAAGCGGTTCCGCCCACCTATGAACATCGTTATACCAAAGTCTCTCTACAGCATAGTAGTGGTAATGAATCGGCGGGAAGTACCGATTTAACATCCTCCTCTTCATCGACATCGCACACCACACAACGACAGACTTCGAATAGTTCTACAGCTTCGCTCGAGGCACTTTCACGTCGAGGCTCTAACCCAGAGGCTGGTAGCACAGATTTGGGGGTGGGTGGTAGTTGTGTTTCGTTGTTGGGCAATTCGCTGTCCTCTTCGAGTGTTTGTGCCTCACCGATTTGTGTGCGTTCGTGTACCGGTTGGGCTGAGATATTTATACGCCGTCCGACGGGCAACATTTCATGGATCACCCGCATCCAAAATCCCATTTCGAATGAATGTTTTGGTTATGAGGTGCCCTTCAGTAGCATGGTTTCGCTGTTTCTCCCCACAGCCCAGGGAGGAGTATTTGGTCCCGATTTTATGCAAAGTGAAAATCTAAGTGATTTGAATATTTCCAGTGATTCAAAGGATCGAACACCCACACCAATACCTGTGGAGATGCCCAAGCAGGACAGCAACAAAAGTGAAGAGGAGAGTCGCACAAGATCCACTTCGAAAACAAGGCCTTTGTTAAGGCAGGAGGAAATATCCTCCTCAGCTGTGGCAGTGGCCTCTGCGGGTACCGCAGCCATTGATATACCCAAGAAGACTACGGGAAAACGTGGCAAGGAAGCCCTTTGTGGCAGTGTTAGTGATGGAGAGGCCGATGAGGAGTACATGAATATCGATGGAGGGGAAATGCGGGCCCGTAAACCAGTTCGCCGGGTTAATTCAAGTCCCGAAATGAGTTCGAGTTGGCGTAACACCTTCTTGGCAAATAAACCAGCCCCACTGGGTCAGGAATCTACTACGGCATTGGAATCATCATCGTCCACTGATCCGAACCAGCAACAACAACAATTACTACAACAGGTACAACAGAAAAAGAAAACCGTGCAATATAGCAAAGTTAGCTGTGAAGCTATACCCGAAGAGATTGCCGGGTCCACACCACCACAAAATGTGGCGGGAACAAATGATGGCACCCTTAAGGCTCCGGAAGCTGGTACCTTACCACCCAAACAGCTATCAGCCGATGATGTTAGTCAAAAAGGTTCAAGTGGTCAGATTCCGGTACAACAATCTGCTTCCTCAACTTCGTTGAAATCTACAGGGGGAGGTGGAGCAGCAGATGAGAAGGTTGTCAACAAACCTCCCCTCTCCCCGGCTCCACAACATTCACCACGCATGGAAAAGACCCATGCCCCCGCTGTGAAATCCACCTCTTTTGGTTCGCATCAAGGCCTCGCCAAGTCCAGCAGTGGTGGCAACAATGTTAATATGGCCTCATCGGCCACTGGAGGTACCAGCAGTTCCAACAATGATTACAACAATGGTGAAATGCGTGGTCGTTCAAAAACCATATCTGTCGTTCGGGAAGTTAATAATGGCAAAACCCGACCCACAACCAGTTCCTTCTCACGGTTCGGAAACAACAAACCCCAATTGAATACCAAGCTATGCATCAATCCAAGTTTTATTTTCATGCAGTTGTATCATACGGGTCATGTACAGGTTACAGATACACCGATTAAGGTACCGCCGGAACAAATGAGCGCCGTTAGCCTCTTGGATTTGGCACCACCATTTGAAACACATAAAATCGGAGTACTATATGTTGGGCAGGGTCAATGCAACAATGTTGTCGAGATTTTGAGAAATTCCCACGGTAGTACTCGGTATGTGGAGTTCTTGCGGGGTCTCGGGACATTGGTTAGCTTGAAGGAGGCAGCACAAAATAATCTATTTATTACCCTGGATACATGTGGTGCGGATGGAAAATTCACCTATGTCTGGAAGGATGATATTGTGCAGGTAAGTGAAAAAAATACCGCCCTCAGTTCAATATAAAGTCACGGCGAATATTTTTCTATAGAAAAAATTGCACCTCAGGTGAACTGAGGTCACGGCGATTTTTTTATAGAAAGAAATTGCTCCTCAGACCAAATGTTGGAACTGAGGTTACGGCGATTTTTTTTCGATAGAAAAAATTAAAATCTTTAATCTGATTTTTTCTATTTCCAGGTAACTTTCCATGTGGCCACCCTAATGCCTACGAAATTACAAAGTGACCCCAATTGCAACGAAAAGAAGAAGCATATTGGCAATGACTACGTCAACATCATCTACAACGAAAGTGGTGAAGAATATAACCTCAATACCATTTCGGTGAGTATAGCTCAAGAGATCACTTCGTGTGCAATTGTTAACCAATGAATTTTGTCGAATTCCTTCAGGGTCAATTTAATTATGCCTGTGTCATTGTGGAACCCTTGGAATTAAATACCAATCGAATTTATGTGAAAGTACGTCCCGAGATAGCCACATTTGTTTATCATCCAGTACCGAAAATTGTATCGGATAAAAGTGCCCCATTGCTGGCAAGGCAATTGGCATTGCATGCTAATGTAAGTTAAGAGAATGGTAGATACGATTTTCGAAAACGTATTTAATTATTTTGTTGTTGTTGTTCTAGTTGGCCTCCAATGTCTATCAGAGTCTGCAAAAGAAAAATCCCTATGCTTCCAATTGGCTGGAAAGATTGCGTAGCATTAAAAGACTTAGGACAAAGGTAGGTGTTTGTTTATATATTTTTTAAATATTATTAAATTTTTTTCTCTATTTCACAGCTCATAGAAAACCAGGTCCAAGGTGGTGCCACTGCCGCACATGCCGATATTGATGATCGTTCTGCGGAAGCCTTAAATAAACAAAACACAAATCGTGATTTTACAAAGTACACATAAGAAAACTTCGCAACCACCAACAGCAGCAAAGTATATAAAAACGAAATTTAATTTTTCGATAAAATTTAAATATTATTATACGAAGAGAAACGAAAACCCTCGAAAGAATATAATTCTTTAACAAAACATCCCGTAATTAAACTTTATTAGCTGTGCTTGAAAAAAAAACTTTTTTCGTTTAGTTTTGTTTCTTGTCTTAAGATTTATATATGTGTAGCCTTTAAGAAACAATAAATACGAAACAAATACGACAATTATAGCTTATAAAAATTACAACAACAAAATACAAATATACTATATATTCAAAATATAATCAATAAATGCTTTGTAGCTTTTTATAAAAAGAGAAAAGAAAATTGCCTATAATTGCAATAGCCATACAAATAGGTTATTTTCTAGTTTTAATGTTATAGCTACGGATTTCGTATGTTCAGTGACCTATAGTGAAATTTTATGGAGGATATTTCTTCCATGGATAACATACCCCTAAAATGTATTTTTTTTATAGAAAGACCCCAATTTGAAAATACTAAAAACTAACTTCCAGAAATTTGTTTTTTTATATACCCATTTGGTTTATTGATGTTTCTGGGTTTTATATTATAGATACGAGTTTCTTATGTTCGGTGACTTATAGTGAAATTTTATGGAGAAAAATACTTTCATTGGTACCATACCCCTATATTGTATTCTTTTGTAAGAAATCAACTCCTATTGAAAAACACTTTAATCTTAACCTCAAAATATCCAATTTTCTATATACACAATTTGTTTACTGATCTTTCTAAGATTTATATTATAGCTACGAGATTCTTATGTTCGGTGACTTATAGTGAAATTTTATGGAGAATAATTCTTCCATTGGTACCACGCCCCTGAAATATAGAATTTGGCAAGAAATCGCCTCCTATTGAAATATACTTTAAACTTAGCCTTAAAATAACCCCTTTTTGTATAGCCCAATTTGTTTACTGATGTTTTTGAGATTTATGTTATAGCTACGTGTTTCTCATGTTCGGTGACTTATAGTGAAATTTTATGGATAACAATTCTTCCGTTGGTACCATATCCCTAAAATAAATTATTATGCAAGAAATCGCCTCCTATTAAAAATGATTAAAAAATCACCCTAAAATTAACAATTTTCTATATACCTAATTTGTTTACCTAGATTTGTCTGTTTTATATCATTCCTGTGGATTTCTCATGTTCGGTGACTTAGTGAAATTTTATGGAGAATATTTTTTCCATTGGTACCATACCCCTAAAATGTATTATTTTGTAAGCAATCAACTCCAATTGGAAAATATATAAAATTAACCCCAAAAATACCACATTTTCTATATATCCTATTTGTTTACTGCTTCTTACGGGTTTTATACTATAGCTACGGATTTGTTTTGTTCAGTGACCCATAGTGGAGAATATTTCTTTCATTGGTCACAACTCTTTATAATGTAGAAATTTCGGAGAAATCACTTCCAATTGAAAAAAATAAAAATTAAAAAATAAACCCCAGAAATGTAAATTTTTCTATATATCGAATTTGTTTACCTATGTTTCTAGGTTTTCTATTACAGCTAGGGATTTCTTGTGTTCACTGATATATAGTGAAATTTTATGAAGAATTTTTATTCCATTGACCCCAATCCTCTATTATTAAGATTTCCAGGAGATTTGCCATCGTTTTGGAAATACTGGCAAAATTAAACATAAAAGCCAATAATTGTCAATATGAAATAAAATTTTCGATTACCCTCGAACTATTTGTGCAAAATTTATGAAAATCGGTTCAGTAATCGCAGAGTTATTTGCATTTGAGTTCAACAAAGTTCCGAAAAACACACTACTGTTCGGTGCTGGGCACCTATTACCTAAAAATGAAAAATCACACAAATATCGCGTTTTTAAAAAACGACAATTTTTCATCTATCATACTACTGTGTATGTGTGTATGTATATATGTGTGTATACATGTAAAGTTGTGTTGCATTAAATATGTATGTAAAAACAATTACATATCTATCAATTTACATATCAGACTACATATAGACTGTGTGTGTTTTTGACTCCTAAAAGTATGCTACAGTTTTCATTACAAATAAACAGCTAGCCAGCCATCACGAATGGGCCTTCTTTTTAAACTGCATTTTTGTGTGATTTTTCATTTTTAGGTAACAGGTGCCCAGAACCGAATAGTAGAGTGTATTTCGGAACATAGTTGAATTCAAATGCAAATAACTCTGCGACTACGTAACGGATTTTCATAACATTTGCTGAAATGTTTAAAGGAAATTGTGAAGTTTTATTACATTTTCCCATACATGTGTAAACATATGTTATATAAGAGAAAATTAGCATTATGTGAAAGTTCGGAAATATTAAAAATATTCACTAATTTTTTTAAATCGTAAAAAAACAGTGCAGTATATATTGCGAGCAATCGCTTCAAGATGCAAATCTTTAAAAATAACACCAAAAAATGCGTCATTTTCTACATAGCCAAATTAATACAGATTTTATAGCAACTGATTTCTTATGTTCGGTGACTTATAGTAAAATTTTGTGAGGAATATTTCTTCCATTGGTACCATACTCCTAAAATGTAAAATATTGTAAAAAATCATCTCCAAATGCAAAGTCATAAAAGATAACCTCAAAAATGCAACATTTTCCACATAAAGCAATATATAATAAAAATTACTCCTAATTTTTCTAGGTTATATAAATACTGATATTTTTTGGGTTATATATTATAGTTCACACCTCAAAATGGATTTTCTTTTCTACATAACCAAATTAATAGTGACTTTTCTAGGTTATACATTATAGCAACGGATATCTTTTGTTCCGTGACCTATAGTGAAATTTGATGAAGGATATTTCTTTCATTGATACCACCTGTTTAATGTGTATAATTTTAGGAGAAATCGGCTCGAATTGAAAAATACCAAAAAATATCGCCCAAAATATGCTATTTGATATATAATCAAAATTACTCATATTTTTTCTAGGTTATAGATTCTAGCTAGCGATTTTTTATGTTCGGTGACTTATAGTAAAATTTTGTGAGGAATATTTCTTCCATTGGTACAATCGCCCTAAAATGTAAAATATAGCGAGAAATCATTTTCAAATGCAAAGTCATAAAAAATAACCTCAAAAATTGCGACATTTTCTACATAACCAAATTAATACAGATTTTTCTAGGTTATATATTATAGCTACAGATTTCTTATATTCAGTGACTTATAGTAAAATGTTGTGAGGAATACATCTTCCATTGGTACCATCCACGTAAAATGTAAAATATTGCGAAAAATCACTACCAAATGCAATATCTTTTTATAAAGGCTTCCCAATTTTTTAAATAAAAACAACCATTTTTAAAATATTTTTGTCTATAATTCAATATATTAATTTTCTTTATTTATATAAATATATAATAGCTTTATTTTTTTATAAATGTAATTCTTTTTTTTAATTCCAATATATTTGTTTGATTAAAAATTTTTTTATTTTTTTATTTAATATTTGGGAACAAATACAAATTACTTGTCATCTACCATGACATGTCTTCCCCAAAAAAAAAAAAATTATATTCGTTATAGTTCCCTCCAAATTTATATATAAATATATGTTTTGGTTAACATAAAAAACCGGTTTAATTTAAAAAATATTTTATTTTTTTAATATATATTTCTTCCTCTTTTTTTAAACCTAAATGCTAAAAAATTGCTTTGCGATTTTATATTTTGAAGTAACCAACTAATTTCTTAATAATATTTATATATACACCCATTAATTTATATGTTGTATGTATTTTATATATACATTAATTAATTTGTTATAGTATTAAACAAATGTACAATTTACTATATATATTTATTTTGATTGGTCATATTTAATTTGATTATTATATAAATATGTATATGTTTAGGTTTATATATATGGAATTTTTATTAAATTATTTTTTCTATAAATTGCATATAGTAAATAGTAGTAGTATAGTATGTTATTTTTTTATTAATGCTTCTTCTTTTTCTTTTTTTAAATATTTATAATGTAATTTAGAACTTTAGTTACGCTTTAATTTGAAAAATACATGATTTGTTTGTTAATTAATTATTTATTTTTGATTTCATATTTTCTCATTGTTTTTAATTTTCTTTTCTTGACTAACATATGTTATATTCCAATATTATTATATTTTAACAACATTCTAAAAAAATTAAAATGAAATTTTAAATAATGGAAATATATTATATATATATATATATATAGAGAGAGAGAGAAAGAGAGAGAAAAATAAAGAGAAAAGTATATTTATGCATATTAATACATTAGAGGAAATATTAAATACTGCATTTTCCAGCTTCAATATCCGGTTATATATTAAAGCCAGAGATTTCTTATGTTCGGTGGCATATAGTGAAATTTAATGAGGAATATTTCTTCCATTAGTACCATCCTGCCAAAATTTTAAATACTTCGAGAAATTGCCCAAAATGTAAAGTCCTTAAAAACAAACTCCAAAAACATGAAATTTTCTAAATAATCAAATTAATGTTAATATTTCAAGGGTATATATTTTATTTACGGATTTCTCTTGTTCGGTGACCTATAGTGAAATTTTATGAGGAATATCTCTTCCATTGGTACCATTCCGCTAAAATTTAAAATATTGCAAGAAATCGCCTTAAAATACAAAGCCCTTAAAAATTACACAAAAAAATGCGAAATTTTATAAATAATCAAATTAAGATTAATATTTCAAGGATATATATTATATATACCGGTTTCTCATGTTCGGTGACCTATAGTGAAATTTTATGTGGAAGATTTTTTTCACCGGTACCACCTCCCTAAAATGTAAAATATTGCGAGAAATCGCCTCAAAATGCAAAGTTATAAAAAGTAACCCCAAAAATGCACCATATTCTACATAACCAAAAATATTGAAATTGTAGGTTGGTTTTCTTTTGGTCGAAGACTCATAG